ATATATATATATATATATATATATATACGGTGATATATATATATATAATGGTGATATATATATATATAATGAAATGTCAACATATGGAAGATCCAACTAACACAGTAAACTAATATCCTATAAATGATTGATACAAGGTATTTCAAAATCATTGATGGGTAATCCATCCTAAATGCCAAGATCTCAATGGACTGAAACAGGATACAAAAGATCCATGAAGTTTCAGATTCTATACCACAACAAATATTAGGAAACATTCATTTGTTAATGTGATATAATATCAGAATACCAGTTATTAAAAAGCTATTACCTCACCCTTTTCTAGCCACTTATTTGTGGGTAGATTTCCTTCATATACTTCAATCAAAAACGTATCTAAACAGACAGGATACACAAATATGAGGATCTATTGAAATCTTGTAAGCCAGGCATTAGATTTTCAAAAATGTAAAAACGATAGTTCTTTAATTTTTTGTTTTGAAAGTTTGGTTTTCCATTAAAAGGCTATTATTCATGTTAACATCAGATGGTTTTATGATATTTGAAAAAAATGCTTATTTTAATTTCAAGTCTAGTAACCATTGATAAATATAGCCTACCAAAAGTTTTAGAGTCTTTAATAATTTTAAAGTATGAATGAACTGTAGAGATAAACTTGTAATGCCACCTACTGGCAAAATCAGAATCACTGCTTCTTGTGAAATCCAACAACCAGTTTCCTTCAGTAAAATACTTCTCAAAGGATGTTCTTCTCTGAGACTCAACCAAGGGAACAAAGTAGGAAGGTGAGAGATTTCAAGACAGAAGTAAAGGAATGGTAATAAATCCTCCAGAGGCTTGTCTTAAGAATGGAAATCAGAAGTTACTGATATTGGCATCTATCCTTTAACTGTGATGAAGGTGACACACTTCTAGCATCTTGTTTATTTGTGACTCCTTAGAGCAGCCTGGTAACAATCTCAATTACTCCTTCAGCAACATCTGCTGTTACATTTTACTTCCTTACAGTATAACTGCTCTGATGGGCTTACTAATGTTTAGGCCTTGGCCTTAAACATGTGGACAGCATGATCTGAGGTAGTTGGGAATTTTAGTTTGCCTTTAAGTTACCTGTGTGGGTTAAACCAAATGTAGAAAAAGAATTGTTTGGGGGAGAGATTTTTATTTTTTTCAGAATAGCCGTGTGTGTGTGTGTGTGTGGAAATGTTTGGGGGAGAGGTTTTTATTTTTTTCAGAATAGCCGTGTGTGTGTGTGTGTGGAAATGTTTGGGGGAGAGGTTTTTATTTTTTTCAGAATAGCCGTGTGTGTGTGTGTGTGTGTGTGTGTGTGTGTGTGTGTGTGTG